GGTTGGCGACAATGGCTGGGTTCCACGAAGCGAGCTGCGGAGGATTGCCCCATTCGTCCTTGACAGCGAGCAGCATTTCGCGGTCGCCGGCGGCGGCAGGTTTGGAGCCGCACTTGCAACTGAGGGCGAGGAACAAGACGATGACGAGGAGGGTGAGGTAGCAGGTGTTCGATCGCGCCATTATTTTTGGGCTGCTAGCTTCGGCTGCTGGGGACCGGTGAGTGGATGAGTGGAGCGCGAAATAGGCTGCTGGGGATTTTGGCTTGAAATATCGAAGGGGGTATAAAGAATTCTCTATTTCGGTAGTTACAGTACAACTCGTCAAGTGCCGTGCCTAAAACCCTAATAAAATATAGTATGTTTAGCTGGAATTAGCTCACTTAATAAATTTTAAATCTCTAATTTAGTAGTAGTACTAACTTTTTTAGCTAGCTTCCTGAGCCGTGAGCTCGTGACCCTGACCCGTGAGCGCAAGCGTGTAGCGCGAATAGGTTGCATGAATGTGTGATACTGCTCCGTCCCATAAAAAAAAGTAGCTATGAACTCGTGCTGGTCAAACATTTCTAAGATTAACTAGGTTTATAAAAAAAATGTAAACACAAATAGTATGTGTGAACAGGTCGGGTCAACGAATCAAAGGATCTAGGCGTACTGATTTCCTGTGAATCCTGTTCACTCAGTCGGCCTGTTCACTGGTTGGTTTCTGGGCTGATAAGTCCGACCGGTGCTGGTTTGTTATGAGAGAAAAACACGGTTGGCTAGCTGATAAGCGCTGACTGAAACCAACAAGCGAACAGGCTGAATACTTACACTTTATACCGTCCTTAAGATGTATCATAATTAAATTTATTTTGATATGAAAAAATCATAAGACTAGTCGCAATGGAGGTTTTAAAAGAGTTTTATTCTCATTTAATACAGTGACACATCAGCAAATCTGCTTACTTGTCAGCTTATTTACGAAGAGAGAGATAAAGAGAGTTTCATCCAGATAAAGCTCAACTCCACAGTTGATGTGGCAGTCTTGGTAATTATGTCGTGAAACTCTCCACTGAGACTGATCTAGTTCAATTCTAATGTTAGGTACTCAAATAATTGAATTGTAGGGACCATAGACGGTCACTCTTGAAATATTGAATTGAAGTTAGGGACCATGATGAAAGTCTCTTTCGGCGGTTATTACATTGCGCCCTATTACAAATGGAGCATAATATGTCAAGTAAAAAGGAATTAATAGTGCTTGCATTTTTTTAGTTAATTATTTTCTCGGTAGCAAATCTGTCTGTTCATAATTACTGTATCAAAAATTTTACACCAGTGCCATCTCAACATCACTCAAAACCACCTCGAAGGTTAAAATTGAACATTTTGATAATTGAGGTTGTAAAATTAGACAAAGGCAAGAGTTGAGAGACAAAAATGAACTTACTTTTTTTAGATATTTATGAAAAATTTACATATTAAATTTACTAATTGATAAATATTTATATGTATGAAAATATTTTTCTACACTTTATTGGATTTTTATCAAAAAAGAAGTTTTAAATTATCATAATTTAACTTTGGTACCATACTTTTCTAAAAATATGATCAATCTTATCGAGATCTACAACTTCGATTTGGGTTATTTCTCCACCCGAGTTTGTTCGGACAATTTAAAAATTTTGAATTTCAAAATATGAGACACCAAATATAATTTTTAGGACCTAAACGATTTCAAATGAAATAGTCGTCGACCACAAAATTGTAAATCTCACGGAGATCTACAAGTTTAGTTTTGGTCATTTCTCCATTTGAGTTCATTTGAATAATTTAAAAAATTTAAAATTTTAAAATATGAGAACATTAAAAAAAATTGAGACCGTAAATGATTTCAAAGAAAAAGTTATCTACTACAAAGTTGTATATCTCATCGGATATACAAGTTTGACTTTCGTCATTTCTTCATCCGAGTTCGTACGAATTCAAAAAATTTAAATTTTAAAATATAAGAAATTCAATCAGAATTTTGGTACCATAAATGATTTCAACTGAAATAGTCGTCAACTGCAAATTTGTATATCTCACCAAGATCTAAAAGTTTGGTTTTGGTTATTTCTCCATTCGAGTTCATTTGAACAATTCAAAAAAACTAAATTTCAAGTATGAGAACTTCAAACATAATTTAGGGACCATAAATGATTTCAAATAAAAAAGTTATTAACTACAAAGTTGTATACTCATCGAGATCTACAACTTTGATTATGGTTATTTCTCCATCCAAGTTCGTTCGAACAATTCGAAACATTTGAATTTCAAAATGCGTGAACCTCAAACGTATAGATTGTTTTTTTAAATGGATTCGAACAAAGAATTCAATATATAAAAATCCAAATAAGTATAGATAAATATTTCAATACATATAACAATAAGTAAAGTTAATATATAATTTTTTCATAAATATCTAAAAAAACAAGTACTTGATTAAGTCTATTTTTGTCCTTCAACTTTTGTCTTTGTCGAACTTTAGCAACTTAACCATCAAAACCATTTAAATTTGACCTCAAGGTGGTTTTGAGTAGTTTTGAGATGGCTCTAGGGTCAAAATTAAACGTTTTTGATAGGTGAGGTGCTAAAGTTACTCTATTTTGTAGTTGAGGGTTAAAATTAAAGAAAGACAAGAGTTTAGGATAAAAAATAGACTTAATGAAATTCTTAAGGTTCAAAAAATGTGCTCCTCCATTCATATTTCATCCTTATTCTCGAGATATAATTACACTAGAACTTTATCGAATCTCAAGACACTCGAAATTAGCAGCTTACACACTCAAAGATAAAAGCGAAAAACAAATCAAACATTCTAAATCAAAAGGCTCACTCTGGCCGCGCTCCTTTGTCGGACAGGCCATAGTAAATGGCCTGGCTGGGACATCTTCTCCTTCTGTGTCTGCATCACTGGCGACTTCTGTAACAGTATATCCCCTTTTTTTGGAAATGTCGTGGTGTGGACGTTCTGTCCGGACTCCGTCTTCCCAACAAAATAGTTGTCTCCGGACTCCGCCTCGCGCCGTCGCGGCTTCACTGCGTTGTGAGGCCGTCCGGTGAGCTCCACGCTGCTCACCCTCTGCACCACCGTTGATGCGCCCACCCGCTCTCTGCGCCACCGGCGAGCTCCACGCCGTTGGCGAGCACACAGGTGACCTCCACGTGCTAGTTACCCGCCCTCTGATCCACCACCGCCCGTGCTGCCTCCACGCCTGCCCTCTGTGCATCGCCGCCCAGCTCCCTGTTGTTGGTGAGCTTCGCGCCGCCAGCAAGCACACCGATGACCTCCACACGTCGACGAGCCTCTATTCGCTGAAGCAGCAAGGAGATGTTGCGCTGAAAGCGAATGAGACAAACGTATGTTTCAAGTATTTTAGGTATTTCAGAGCTATGTTTCAAGTGTTTTATATTGATGTTACGAAAGTAGATCAGGATGTTGCAAAATTAGATCAGAATATGTCTAACTAAATATCGTCGGCAGTCCACCGAGGGGTATACCCACGATGGTAGATTGATCGGAGAGGTGCGCGTGAACAAGAGCAAGATGGTGACAGAGACACAAGATTAGATAGGCTCAGACCGTCCGCTCGATGTAATACCTTAGTCCTGTGTTCCGTCGGTTTGTATTGGCTATTGTATGAGATTGAATATGTTTTGAGAGGGTCCCCTACCTGCCTTATATAGCCCGGGGTAGGGTTACATACCGATCAGGTCTAAGTTTAATCGGGTAAGATACAATCTTTACAAGGAATCTAATATTCGGCATATCCTAACGGGTCTTGCGCCATCTTCAGGATATCGCCGTGATGCCTTGCGGTGCGCGCCGAGCAGTGCCGTGCACCGCAAGCCTTCATTTGGTGGGCTGGATCATCCCTTGCGGTGCAGTCCATGTCTTGCGCCATGGGTACTTGGGGTTGGACCCCCCATAGAATATTGCACATGTTGCAATGGCAATACATATATGTTTTAAGTGTATGTTCTAAATGTTTTATCTGTATCAGACGTATGTTGCAAGTGTTTGATTTGGATGTTATAAAAGTAGATCTGGATGTTGTATATACATCCATATTGCAAGCATATATTTCAAGTGTTTCATAGTATGTTGCAAGTGTTTTCATCTCGATGTTGCATATGTTTGCAATGGCTATACACGTGTTTTCAAGTTTTTCTGGCGTTTTGCAAGTGTTTTTAGACGTATGTTGCAGGTGTTTCAGCTATTCCGGACGTATGTTGCAAGCGTTTCATCTGAGTGTTGTAAAAATAGATCTGGTGTTGCACATATTGCAATGGGGTCCATTTGTCACAGCAATCTGCTGCAGCTACTGGGTGACATCCGGGCTGCGCAAGCCCGCTGCTGGGGTGCCACCAAGCGAGCGCAGATGGGCGCATGAGAAATCGAGCGCAGGCGTGGGGGCCCACGTGGTGGGGCACGAAAAAAACAGGAGGTACAGGCTCCATTTCTCTGGTGCGCACGGCACTGTCTTACATCAACGCTCCGTATCGGATGTGCGGGCGCTAAGGGTGGCGGGGGGATTCTTGTAAGGCCCAGTTTAGTTGGCTCCCATTTTGCAAAATTTTTCAAGATTCCCCGTCACATCAAATCTTTGGACGCATACATGAAGCATTAAATATAAATAAAAAAATAAAACTAATTACACAGTTTAGACGAAATCCACGAGACGAATCTTTTAAGCCTAATTAGACTATGATTGGACACTAATTGCTAAATAACAACGAAAATGCTACAGTGATATTTTGCCAAAAATTTCGGCATCTAAACAGCCCCTAAGGTTCAAAAGACGCGGTCATCCATTCATCCTTATTCTTGAGATATAAATATTTACACTGGAGCTTTATCAAATCTCAAGACACCCAAAATTAGCAGCATACACGCTCAAAAAGATTAAATAAAGTGGAAAACGAACCAAACATTGTCGACTGAAGAAGAGACCAAAGCATTCACGGGTCATGATGCTTCAAAGCATGGTGTCAGCGCGCGACGGCAGGCGGCGGAAGAAGTTGCTGGGCACGGAAGGCAGCCTGCTCCGGAACCTCGGGTGGCGCAGCACGTAGAGCCCCGCGACGAGCGCGACGATGCGGAAGGGCGTGACGTAGAGCACCACCGCTGCGAGGAGGCAGAATATGACGAAGAGGCACGTCGCCCTCGGGTCGCGCCAGCTGAGCAGCGACTGCAGGCGTTCCCCCTGCGTGGCCATGTCGCCGACCACCGTCTGTATCCTCCCGGCCACGCTCCGCAGGCGGTCGTAGCGCATGTACACCACGTCCTGCGGCCGCGACGTCGGGAACGTGTCGAACTCCTCGTCCAGCTCGTCCGGGTGCACCGCCTCGGCCCACGACATCTTGGTGTCCATGTGCGGCGGGTGGCGCGGCCGGCGGCGGTAGTTCCACAGCCCGATGAGGAACATGTAGAGGAAGACGGTGGGGAGGATCAGCTCCGGGTACCACACCAGGATGAGCAGCAGCACGTGCACCAGCGCCGTCGTGGCCACGTTCTTCCAGTGGCACACGTCGCTGAACCAGCGCGCGGCGGCGGCGAAGCCCGAGAAGAGCGACACGGCGCGGAAGAAGTTGGCCTTGCTCCGCCGCATGCTCCACATGTGGGACTCCACGTCCAGCATGTACTCCACCACCTCCCGGTGCAGCGGCGGCTCCGCGCGCCCCAGCCGCGCCGCCACGATGCCCATGGCCTGGTACCGGAGCGCGTCCAGCTGCATCACCGTGAACGGGTGCAGGTAGTGCATCCTGGGGAGCAGCGGCTGCGTGTAGAGGTGCACCATGTTGATGAGCGAGAGGTAGGTGAAGCGCACGGCGAGCCGGAGCTCGCCCATCTTCTTCACCCCCGGACCGCTGCAGCGCGATAAGCGGATACGCGTGCGTGTAGACGCGGTCGGTCTCCAGCGTCGACAGCCGGATGCGGATCTTGCCGATGCGGGCGTCCTCGCCGGCTGGCCGCCGCCGTTGTTCACGCCGAGGTGGCAGTTGTCGAAGACGCCGATGGTGATGACGGTGCAGGGTCGAACACCTCCCACGTGTACTGCTCGTTCCACGTGGGGCCGAAGGTGCCGATCATGGTGCGCGTGCGCACCCACTTCTGGCCGTACTTGGCAACGCAGTACGCGTCGGTGGTGCCGCGGCCGTCGATGGTCTTCATGGGCTGCAGCCCGGCGGCGCCGAGGATGCCGACCTCGAGCACGCCGACGGGCGGCTTCCACAGCTGCCGCGCCGTGGGGCGGGTGTCGCTGATGTACATGGTGGACTCGTCCATGACGTGGTAGGCGCCCTCGAGGCAGGTGCGCACGTGGACGCGGCTGGCGAACCGGAGCTCCCGCCGCGTCTCGCCCTCGATGGCCGCCCCGACGCCGAACTTCTCGAGGTCGAACCAGCGGGACTGCACGAAGGGTCGGTGGTCCAACCGCTTCTCGAAGAGCGTTAGCGGCAGCACGACGCGTCCCAGCAGGTCGTCCTTGCGCGGGGACACCCGGTCCTCCACCGTCAGCACCAGCTGCTCCTCGAACGGCTCGGCGACGACGAAGAGCAGGTCCTCGTTCCACCGCGGGTTCAGCGTGGGCGCCGGCGACACCGACGTCTTGAGGATCTGGTTCCCCACCTGCGCCTTGACGAACACCTCCGGCGCGCGGCCGCGCTCCTGCGGCTGCACGTCCTGCGCCTCGATCACGTTGACGCGGAGGTACCAGAGCTTGGGCGACACGTAGGCCTTGGAGCGCACGCTGGCGACGCCCTCGCCGCGCACCGCCGCGGCGTCCGAGTGCCACGCCTCCGGGAACGCCTCGTCGGCCTGCGTCCCGATCCAGACGGCCAGCATGAGCTCCCCGCGCACCTTGCCCCCCTCGCCGCGCCGGTCCTCGAGGCGGTACCACTGCGGGGCCAGCGGGCTGTCGGGCGGCACCCGCGTGGGCACCTCGGCGAGGTCGAAGGTGACCTTGCCGACGTAGTCGTCGCGGCCCAGCATCTCGCGGTCCTTGAGGAAGACCTCGAGGACGTTGGACTGGACGCGGGACTTGGAGAAGGCGAACACCTGGTCCCACTCCGTGTTGGCGCGGCGGTCGAAGTGCCGCGTCTTGCCCTTGTAGTTGCCGAGGCGGACCTCGACGTAGGGGTCCATGGGCGCGCCGGTGATGGGGTTCAGGGGCAGGTCCTTGGCCTTGACGACGCGCACGTACAGGAAGAACATCTGCTCCACGAGGTCGTACGTGCTCGACGGCTTGTCCACGCCCAGCCAGCCGGCGAGCCCGCCGCCGCCGCCGCCCGCGGGCGCGCCAGGCCCGCCGCGCCCTTGGGCCATTGCTCGCCCAGCAGCGGGTTGGTGTCCTTGAGCTGGAAGTCCTCGTGGTGCGGGTCACCGCCGTGCCCTTGGGCCATTGCGAGCCCCGGACTTGCACTGACGTACGTGCGTGCCTGCTCCGAACCTATCTCCATTGCCGCCCGGGCAAAAGCACAAATGAAATCGATCAGAAAACTCCATAAACAAACTCTATAAATTTCATTACTGATCAGTTTTTTCCGCACTTACTGTTCAAGTGTGAAAACTTAAGAAGCTGGTTTGTAGCACTATGGCTCGGTAACAATGGCGCGCGAGGCACTTATATCTAGAATCCTGGAACAGATGCAACAAGCTGCTTCATCTGCAAACGGCATGTGTTGTTGTCATGCAGAAGCGGAAGAGCAGAGGCTTTGATGTCATGCAGGGGGCTAGCAGCAGCAGCCAGCAGAGCAACTTTTTGGGCAGGCAAGCGTCTGGCCAATGGCCGTGGCGGCCCTGGTGCGCTTGCAGGGGGATCGTGGCAAGCCTCGCCGGGAAGCAAAGCATCCGCCGCGGCCGCGTCGGTGGTGAACCCGGCGACAAGGAAGGTATACAAGCGGCGTCGAGAGAAATCCAATGGTCTACCAAGCTTAGCTAGCTAACCTAAACCCTGCAGCGCCTGCGGCTTCTTGAGAGAGCGTGGGGTATGGTATGAAGCTGCAGCTGAAGTGCTGAACGGAGTTCTTTCAGAGGAAGCTGTCCGATGACAACCTTTCTTGGGTGCTTTCTTTCAGGCTGAGCAGAGCAGAATAGCCATCCCAGTGAAAGGAGAGGGGTGATCTAAAGCACGATGGATCATGTGTGGAAAGGAGATTGATTGAACGACGGTGTCAGTGGTAAATCAAAAAGCTGGCGATCGATCGGTTGGGGGAATCGATTCTTTGGATCGCCGAGTGGGCTTTGTTTATGCGCCCTTGAATGGGCGTGCTCTCATCCTCTGATTAGGGGCAAGGAACCTTGCACAGTTCACAGACCAGGACCCATCTGTGGTAGTGGTTCCCATGCATGCCAGGGTAATTTCCGGCTTGCCTGCTGCTACTCTGTAAACAGCAACATCAGCGAGGAAAAAAAAAAGGTGTTCAAAAAGTCATGTTTCTTTGCCCGTGCACACAAACACACACACAAGATAGAAAAAGAACACACACAGCCATTGAGCTTTTCTATAACACCTATTTTAGCCCAAAGAAACTCATCACATACGATGCCTATATTAGTAACTAATAACTAGTACTCCATGCGTTTCAAATCATAAGCCCTTTTAGTCTTCTAAGATATATATTCACTCTATTCCAAATGGTAAGGTGTTCTGGTACTTTTAGATACATAACTTTTACTCTGTATCTAGATATAATGGTCTAATGGATATCTAAGTACGTAAAAAAAACTGCATATCTAAAAAAACGGGAATAACTTAAAATTATTGTTTAAAATAGAGGAACCTAAAAAGAATTAGAACGATATCCAATTTGGAACGGGATAAGAGCATCTCCAAGAGTTTGCTATCTCAACTTGGCATCCATATAATTTTGGCAAAACAAGAAAAAATAGCCTCTAACAGTTTGGCAAAACAACTTGGCATCTATAGTAACTTGGCAAATCTTTCCTCCACACACATAAATATACGTGCTACAGATATCGGCTTGGCATCCGTGGCTCTTCGCTTCTTAGCGGGGCTCTTCGCTTAAGCTTAGCGGGGCTCTTCGTTTTGTTATCGGGTTTTTTTATTTTACCAAATAAAAAATGCCAAACTCTTGGAGATGAATTATTTTTTTACTTGACATATAATTTTGGGAGTTGGCAAATCACAAGATTTGCCAAGTAAAATTTGACAAATTCTTGGGGATGCTCTAAAGCAAGCAAAGTAGCTCTGCTATCTTTTACATGTTGTTTCTGACGCCGGTGGCTTCACAACTACATTGCCTTTGGCCATTATTTTATCTAATCACTTGTTACTGAAAGCTTGAAAATGTAGTGAGTTGAAATCATTTTTCACGACAAATTTTATTATATATGTTTGTCGCGTGACTAGGACATATATATCTTGATACTTTAAGTATACTCTCTAGAGCTTGACTATTCTCATCCCTATTTAAGAAAGGAGGAAATAACAATTTTAGAATGCGTGCATTTAAAAAAAACAGTATCTTTGTTGTTCAGACTGAATAAGTGATATCTACGTGTATATAGGATCGGGTTTACTAGCGCCTAGACGTCCGGACAGAAGCGTGCGTTCAGACGCTCGCGCCGCGCTCGCCGCTCAGCCCAGTGCGTGCTCGCCCGTGCGGCCCACTCGCCACTGTACACTCGCGGACGTGCGGCCCGAATAGCCAGTGGAGCGCACCTCCCTCGACTGTTAGTTGGGCTTGCCAGCGGCCAAAACGGATCGGCAGAAAACGGCAACGCTCCAGCGCCCTTGCCTCTGTGATGTGTCCCACGTTGGGTGGCTGTCTCCCACGCGCTCCTTCTGGTTGCCCCCACTTCACAGACGCGCATCGGAGCATGCATGCTTGACCTGCTGCTTGCCGCACCCTGCTTGCCCTGCTGTTGCTTGCCCACGCCCTGCTGCTCGCCCTGCTGCGGCCCCCAGCGCTCGCCCACCCTTGTAACATGGAGGGCTTGCTGCAACATACGTCTAAAACAGATGAAACACTTAGAATATATGCTTGCAACATATGTGTAACCACTGCAACATATGCAACATTAAGATAAAACACTTGTAACATATGTCTAAAATGATTGAACCATTTGAAACACATACTTGCAACATTTGTCTAAAACAACTAAAACATTTGAAACACACACTTACAACATACTTCTGAAACACTTGGAAAAAACATCCGAAAACACTTGAAAACCTTTGCAAACATACGCAACATCTAGATAAAACACATGCAACATATGTGTGAAACATATGCAACATCTAGATAAACATACTTACAACATACGTCCGAAAACACAGATGAAATATTGTTAACAGACTTTTATAACATATGTGTACAACCGTTGCAACATATGCAACATCTCGATCCACTTTTGCAACATCCATCTGAAACACTTGCAACATACCTCTGAAACATCTCAAACACTTAAAATATACACTTGCAACATGCGCTTTCAGCAAAACCTGGCAGCTGGGCGAGCGGAGCACTGCACAGCGGGATCCGGCTGTCGGTTGTGCGGTCGCGGTGGAGAAGGAGAATGATACCGGCGGCGGGCGGTCATGCGGCCCCCTCACGAGCGACGGTGTTGGCCCCGGTGATAGGGGCGCATGCGGTGCCCATGACGAGTTGTGCCAGCAATGGAGCCGACAACAGCGGGTGCGACCTCGCATGTGAGAGGAGCCGAGGCTGAGTGGTCCCGGGTGGGGGCACATCGCGGTGGTGGAGATCGAGGAAGGTCAAGGGCGTGGCGAAGCGCTGTGGTCGTGGAGCGCATCCACGGTGATGCGTGAGTTTTTTTTAATGTGCAAAGAACCGGAGGGGCGGATAGGACCGGATAGAATAGATAGCCTTGTGGACGTCAGGTCTACCGACACTGGACGGACGTCTGATTCCTAGCATTACCGATATAGGATTGATCTCACAACAGAGTTTTAGCTACAATTTGAAACCATCTTCTAGTTACGGCGAAGTACACCGTAACTAAAGTTGTGGGTTAACCATATCAGTGTTTTCCCCTTTCAATTTTCACCCGCGCAGGGTCACCTATTTCTTGACTAGAGGATGTATTAAGGCATGGTTAAATGGATGGAGAATTTCTGAGCTACTTACACCGAAATAACAAAGAACCGCAGTGCTACAGTACAGCACACATGGCATGCTTGTATAAGGCTATAAGCTTAGCAAGGAAGCAGACGGAAGTTACCTTTATTCTCTGCTGAGGAGGCAGCTCAAATGTGTCAAAAAGCAAGCCGAGAATATATTCCCACATCATCTCTCCACCACTTAGCTCGAATGTGTTCACTCCAGACTGCTGACCTGCTATGTTCCAGGTTCTCGATGGCATCTAATAATCAAGGGGCCAAGTAATGCCTTGATTAAGCAGATGATCTCATGGTTGCATCATTGTTATGCGATGAACTCACAAGTATTCACCACCAAAGCATGAGTAAGGCCCAGCTTTTGTTGAGGCCCAAATGGGCCCGCTAGTGTCGTAGCCATTGGAAAATACAACGGATAAGCCCAATAAAGATGCTGACCTGAGACTGGGCTTCTCATTCAGGCCGGCCAGTTATTTTGATTTTATATTTTTTTATTAGTTATATGTTATTTTCACTTGGATTAGCAATTACTAGAATCGTGCCCGTGTGCTGCAACAGAAAAAAAATAATGCCACAATAACTCGGGTTTAAATGTTTGTTGTACTATTATAAAAAAGAATACTTTGAGCGCGATGTTTGGGGCATTCCATTTATAGCTAGATCCATGTCCATGAACAATTCGAATATAATTCAAGTTTTGAAGTGATCTAGTTTAGGGCGTAACGCGCAGAGGTCTTTACAAGGAGCACTTGAAGTTCGTGGCTAATGAGCGACCCAAGTTTCTCGCCGACAATGAGATGCGGATGTGATTTAGTGTGTTCGTTGAGCGGGTATAGGTTGCAAAGCTCCCGCTGCCAATAATGTCAATGGAGGCTTGGGGAGGTTGTGGGTGACAACGGGCGGTGGCTTGGGAGATCTAATGTGGATTAGCAATTAGCAAGTGATTGCTAATTGCATGAAATATACAGACAAATCCTCTCGACTTTTGGATTGAGAGAAGCAATCAATTTTAATATATTATGAGTTTTTGGTAGCAATGTAACCACAACACATAATGAGTAGTGAACAAACTAAAATGCCATTATGAAATGATTAATAAAATACCTCAACAAACAATTACATCATGTTTGCCCAGCGTGTTTACATGAAATTAAACACAACACATTTTGCAAACACATGTGTGGAACTCTAGATTACTATGGTAAAGTGTCCATCTAAACCT